ATCAAATGGGTTTTGCTGTATAGGGGCGGCAGGTTAAGAGCGTTGTGCCAGTAACCGAAAGGTCGCTGGTTCTAATCCCCAATCCGACTAGGTGAAAAATCTGTCTGTGCCCTTGAGCAAGGCACTTAACCCTAATTGTTCATGTAAGTCGCTCTGGATAAGAGCGTCTGCTAAATGACGTAAATGTATAGACTTACGGACTGAGGGAAAAACATTTAGCCTGTTTGCATCATGCATTTTATAAATCCTCATTCGAAATTATTTATTTGAGTTAGTTAGTAGTATAGGCATGTTTTGTAGTATAGGCATGTAATTCGTGAGCTGACGCTGGAGTCCGTCTTTAAAGCAGGGTTCGCATGTGTGGTAAACCACTTCTAAAGTGTTTATAAATTCCCCTCTGCGATCGGAGGGTGTTTCTGTGCCACGGGGTACGAAGAAAGCACTTACTGCTGAACGTAATCCCTGCCTCTCGCGCTGACAAATCCTATACATGTCACCAAAACAGTCAGTCTCTCTCCGGGGACTTGGTAGCATGTGATTAATATGTATCACATGCATAAAAGGCAAGACAATACCTGTGCAAATATTGTGCGTGCGTGCCGGTACATGTGCGTGATCAGGCCTAATGTGTAATGTTTCGTGTGTGTGTGTTTGAGAGAGCGAGAGAGAGAGAGAGAGAGAGAGAGAGAGAGAGAGAGAGAGAGAGAGAGAGAGAGAGAGAGAGAGAGAGAGAGAGAGAGAGAGAGAGAGAGAGAGAGAGAGAGAGAGAGAGAGAGTGTGTAGGGGAGAGTGAGACAAGTAAGGTAAGTTGAGAAATTTTTTAACACTTCAGCATCACACTGTCAAGGGAAATATAGTATTATTTCTAACAAAGATATCTACAGTGCCTTCAGAAAGTATTCACACCACTTGACTTTTTCCACATTTTGTGAGATTTGGTGTCACTGGCCTGCACACAATACCCCATAATGTCAAAGTGGAATTTATTAAAAATGAAAAGCTGAACTGTCTTGAGTGAATAAGTATCCAACCCCTTTGTTATGGCAAGCCTAGATACGTTCAGCAGTAAAAATGTGCTTAACAATTCACATAATAAGTTGTGTGCAATAACCTCATCTCTGTACCCCACACATGCAATTATCTGTAAGGTCCCTCAGTTGAGCAGTGAATTCAACCACAAAGAGCAGGGAGGTACATTGGTAGATGGGTGAAGAAAAAAAAAAGAAGAAAAAAAAGCAGACATTTAATATCTGTTTGAGCATGGTGAAGTCATTAATTACACTTTGGATGGTGTATCAATACACCCAGTCACTACAAAGATACAGATACTCTGCTCCCGGAGAGGAAGGAAACCGCTCAGAGATTTCACCATGAGGTCAATGGTGACTTTAAAACAGTTACAGAGTTTAATGGCTGTGACAGGAGAAAACTGATTATCAACAACATTGTAGTAACTCGACAATACTAACATAAATGACAGAGTGACAAGAAAGAAGCCTTTACACAATAAAAAATATTCCAAAACATGCATCCTGTTTGCAATAAGGCACTAAAGTAAAACTGCAAAAAATGTGGCAAAGAAACTAACTTTATGTCCTGAATACAAAGCGTTATGTTTGGGGCAAATACAATACAATACATCACTGAGTACCACTCTTCATATTTTCAAGCATGGTGGTGGCTGCATCATGTTATGGGTATGCTTGTCATCGGCAAGGACTCGGGAGTTCTTTAGGATAAAAATAAACGTAATAGAGCTAAGGACAGGCCAAATCCTAGAGGAAAACCTTGTTTAGTCTGCTTTCCAACAGACACTGGGAGAGGAAATAAACTTTCAGCAGGACAATATCCTAAAACACAAGGCCAAATATACACTGGAGTTGCTTACCAAGATGACATTGAATGTTCCTGAGTGGCCTAGTTACAGTTTTGACTTAAATCGGCTTGAAAATCTATGGCAAGACTTGAAATGGCTTTCTAGTAATGACCAACAACCAACTTGACAGAGCTTGAAGAATTTAAAAAAGAATAATGTGCAAATATTGTACAATCCAGGTGTGCAAAGCGCTTACAGACTTAACCAGAAAGAGGGGTGTGAATACTTATGTAAATGAATATATTTCTGTATTTCATTTTCAATAAATGTGCTAAAATTTCTAAAACCATGTTTTCACTTTGTCATTATGGGGTATTGTGTGTAGTTGGGTGAGACAAAATCTATTTAATCAATTTTGAATTCAGTCTGTAACACAACAAAATGTGGAATAAGTCAAACGGGTACGAATACTTTCTAAATGAACTGTACATATATTTTAGGATATTGTGTATCCCTGAAAATAGCTTGTCTAAAAATGTTCTCTTGGCACAACCTACCCCAGGTATGGGGTAAGTCGAGCCATGGGACAGGGTAAATTAAGCCACCTACACATTTCTGTACTGAAATAAATATTACCACTACCTTTTTAAAACCATGTTTAACTTTATTTCCCAAACACAATTCAACACAATCATAATCCCTGTTTGGTCTTTTAAGCATTTTAAGCATCATTTAACACAGGCTTCACCTAACAAACAATTTGTGCTTTTTTAAAACACTTTTAACATAGCCCAAGCCATGTTGTTACCTCATATCCCAGCGACAATGCCTTGCATTATGCCTGGGAAGAAAACACTTTAATTAGCTAAATTTGCCATTGGCTCAACTTATCCCAAGGCAAACATTTTGCCTATATTAGCCCACACAGCTACAGTACAAGGATGCACTTTCATGTTATGTTTAGGACCTCATAGTGAAGCTTATAGAGACAACCAAATTATGTATAGAACAACCTTAAAATGATCTACTTTGATTTAGATACAAGCATCATAAAACCTCTAACACAATAAATTCATTTGACTTGTTTGACTTTTCTTCATTTACATTTACATTTACATTTACGTCATTTAGCAGACGCTCTTATCCAGAGCGACTTACAAATTGGTGCATTCACCTTATAGCCAGTGGGATAACCACTTTACAATTTGTTTATTTATTTTATTTTTTATTTATTTTAATTTTTAAAAATTTCTTCCTTCACAGACTCCATGAAATGATGACCTCTTCCTAAATATTTGGTCAAATGATTAATTTTGTGTATGGTTTCTTTGAAACAAGGGGGATCAACTTGCCCCTTTGACTCAACTTACCCCACTCTCCCCTACACAATGCACCATTTGCACCATATTTGTATTTATTTTTTATTTATTTTTTAAAACGACATTGTTGGTTAAGGGCTTGTAAGTAAGCATTTCACTGCAAGGTCTACACCTGTTGTATTCAGCGCATGTTGCAAATACAATTTGATTTGATTTGATTTACATCAGGCAATATTTTATATTGTCTTTGAGCTACTGTATTGTTTCGTGAATAGCCTCAGTCATAAATAGGCAACTTAACAAATACTTGTGAAAATACTTAAGATTGTGTCTGTTGGGACAAAATGAACATTGCAAATTTTGATCTGGTCATGTAGTGGCGATTAAGAAACACTATAGGCAAAGGTTGAGAGCTACATTTTTGTGTTCTCATTACCATGGGAGTTTTGTACTGTACTGGACTTTTTTTTTTTACTTTGAAAATTCCATGAACAGGTATATTAGTTGCCAGTGTGTAAACATATAGGCCTACTGTAATTGCATTGTAACAGGCTTTAGATATGGGATCCAAGTTTTAGGCTGAATTAAAAATATAATTTCATTCCACGTGTAGGCTAGGCTTGGTCTGGCCTATGGTGGCACTTTCCACTTTGTTCTCAGCCACAGAATGAGAAGGCCAATCTTACAATATGACTGAGAATGCAGGGTGTAATGTGCAGCTGATCACATCATAGCCATTCCTTCTATAATTCATTCTAACTAAGATGAACAAGTGAAAGGTAGGGCTAGGCCTACTCAACGGACTCATTAGCTACAGTTCTATTCGACTCTTTCACTGATTAGTAATTATAATCTATTCATAATATCAAATCAAAATCAAATCAAATCAAATTTTATTGGCCACATGCGCCGAATACAACAGGTGCAGACATTACAGTGAAATGCTTACTTACAGCCCTTAACCAACAGTGCATTTATTTTTAATAAAAAAGTCAAATAAAACAACTACAAAAAAGAGTTGAGAAAAAAAGAGCAGAAGTAAAATAAAATAACAGTAGGGAGGCTATATATACAGGGGGGTACCGGTGCAGAGTCAATGTGCGGGGGCACCGGCTAGTTGAGCTAGTTGAAGTAATATGTACATGTGGGTAGAGTTAAAGTGACTATGCATAAATAATTAACAGAGTAGCAGCAGCGTAAAAAGATGGGGTGGGGGGTGCGGGTGGGGGGGCAGTGCAAATAGTCCGGGTAGCCATGATTAGCTGTTCAGGAGTCTTATGGCTTGGAGGTAGAAGCTGTTGAGAAGTCTTTTGGACCTAGCCTTGCTCAGTCCTCTTTTTTTTCCTGTAGTCCACAATCATCTCCTTTGTCTTGGTCACGTTGAGGGAGAGGTTGTTATCCTGGCACCACACTGCCAGGTCTCTGTCCTCCTCCCTATAGGCTGTCTCATCGTTGTCGGTGATCAGGCCTACCACTGTTGTGTCGTCTGCAAACTTAATGATGGTGTTGGAGTCGTGCCTGGCCATGCAGTCATGGGTGAACAGGGAGTACAGGAGGGGACTGAGCACGCACCCCTGAGGGGCCCCCGTGTTGAGGATCAGTGTGGCAGATGTGTTGTTACCTACCCTTACCACCTGGGGGCGGCCCGTCAGGAAGTCCAGGATCCAGTTGCAGAGGGAGGTGTTTAGTCCCAGAATCCCTAGCTTAGTGATGAGCTTTGAGGGCACTATGGTGTTTAATGCTGAGCTGTAGTCAATGAATAGCATTTTTATATAAACGCTTGCTATTCAATGTAGTCAAACGAATAATATAAGTTTTGTATTGGTGAGGGCAGGACAGCGCACTCTCTTGGTCTTTTAGTCAGAGATAGGGCCATTTCTACTGGTCCATCGGCCCCTCTCGCCGTTGCACCTCTGCCCGCACGTCACTTCCTCCAGCCTCTTTCGCTTCCATCTTGCTCACCGCGTGTGCGCGCTGCTAGTGTGCAGGTCAGTTAGGAGCTCTAAAATACCTTATTGCCTGCACTGTTTCTGCCATTCTCCAACGACACAAGGTAAACAATATCCTTGGTTATCAGACCGGTGAAAATCTTGGAGTTTGAACTCACGGGGACTTGGTAAACGAGTGTAGAGTTGGGAGGTGGAGTCTGACTCACAGGCCCCATACCAGCTAATCGAATTTAGCAATCTTTCTAACGTTGGCCAACCTGTTAGCCTGGTATCTAGCCAGCAGCGGCAAAAGGCCCGTTAACTAAATCGTTTAATATCTGGCTTTTACTTATCAGTGGTCATCGTCAATCCCTCAAATGGTTGTAGATATTTAGCAGGCGTGTCGATGGCCAAGATTGTGCATTTTATCCCCGTATTCCGCTCTTAACTTTTTCGTTTAGGTAGGTAGTTCGCGAACGTTAGTATTAGCTAACCGTTGTAACGACCTATTATTAACCAGCTAACTTGTTAGCTAGCGCCAATATCTGGACAGAAATTGGTTCATAGTCTGTCTAGCAGACAAATGACAACTAGGTAACGTTAGGTACAGTTAATCAATTTGTGATCCGTCTGTCATTAACTTACTAGGAAACATCGAATCGTTTGTTTTGGTTGCAGGTCTGTGTCTAGGAAGCGTCTAACTTTTTTATGTTCTACTTCTACCGTAATTATGTAGCTAACGTTAGCTAGTTAATGGCAGCTGCTAGATGATACTGTACTGCTCAACAGGACATACCGCAGCTTTGCCTTCTCAACCATAGTCTTGATTTACTGGTTTTGGGGTGTTTGATACTTTACGTTAACAGAACTAGTACTCACTTGCCTAGGCGTGTGCCTACCAACTTGTATTTTATGACACAATTAAGATAGCTAGGCTACATGTACTTATGTAGTGATGTTTGTAGTTAATATACTTAAATACAGGCCTAGCTAGTTAAGTGAGGCAGGGTTTGCAAACGGTTTTCAAAATGTAATGTTGGATAACCAGAAACAAAAGGACAATTATAGATGCAGTGATATAACTCAACACCTACCGTGTCTATTTCAGATGAAAGAAATAATAATGAATCAAGAAAAACTTGCCAAACTTCAGGCACAAGTCCGCATCGGCGGCAAGGTAAGAAGCTGTTCACATCAATCAATTGTTTCTTCACCGAGTGAATGTTTACACAAATATGTCAATATGAAGCTCATGTCTCACACGTGTTAAAAGATCAGGTACTTGAATCTATCTTTTCTCTTTTACAGGGCACTGCTCGCAGAAAGAAGAAGGTTGTGCACAGAACAGCAACTGCAGATGACAAGAAACTTCAGTTCTCCCTAAAGAAACTAGGAGTCAACAACATCTCTGGCATCGAAGAGGTAAGGTCTGGTCCTCTCTCCCTCTGTAACCATCCCTTTTTAAATGGATGTTGGAGTACTTTAATTGATATGAAAATTAAATTGGAACCCACTGATTTATTTGAGAGCAAAGGAGGGTTCATTTCAAGGCACACTTTAGCTAGCTGCCACCTTTAAGTCTTCAGAAAGGGAGGTGTCTATTCTTTCAGATTGTAAGTCTATAACTACGAGTAAAATCGCATAACCATTCTCGTTTCTCCTCTGTTCCTCGCAGGTGAACATGTTCACAAACCAGGGGACAGTGATCCACTTCAACAACCCCAAAGTGCAGGCCTCCCTGGCAGCCAACACCTTCACCATCACTGGCCACGCCGAGACCAAGCAGCTGACAGAGATGCTCCCCAGCATCCTCAACCAGCTGGGAGCAGACAGTCTGACTAGCCTCCGGAGACTGGCCGAGGCTCTTCCCAAACAGGGTACGTGGGGCCGAGGGAGGGAGTGAGATGGGAAGGGGGACTGGTTCTAATGGTTCAGGAGACTGGCCGAGGCTCTGCCCAAACAGGGTACGTGGGGCTGGGGGAGGTAGCCGGATGGGGAGGTAGTACTGGCCGAGGGTCTGCCCAAACAGGGTACATGTGTCTAGGGAGTGGGTAGGGTATGGATACTGGGATGTATTCACTAGGAAGCAATTGAAATGGGGAGGGACCTACCTGAATTTGTCCAATATAAACTTGTTTTCATTGCAAAATGTTTTCAGTTTGGAGTAAATGTTTTCAGTTACACTTTTTGCTACAGAAGCAGACTAATGGCTCAGGAGAGTCTGTTTTTAGGGGAAATATTGCCTGTGTTTTGGTTTTTGAAGGGCAGCACTTTTGTTGTCACTTTGTTTTTATATATTTGAGAAGGGGCATGTTTTTGTTTCAAGGCCATGCATTTTATTGACATTTCAACAGGCTTTACCTAATCTGTTTGACTTGGCCACAAGTAGTAGAGACATTGCTTTAGCGTAAGTGTGTGAGGAGGTGGATTGGTAATAAAAAACAGACAGAAATGCACAGTAGCAATCTCTGAAAGTTTTGGGATGGGGGGGATTTGAGGTAGGGCTGGAGGGTCTTGCATTGATTTTGAGCACTGGGCAGGCACTGACATTGTAATAGAAATGCCATTTGTTTAGACAGACTATTTTATATTCGTAATGATTAAGTATTGGATACAACTTACTGAAGACCAGAGGCATTTGTACATAGCTCTGCAACAGGTTCGTAACATCTCTTATTTCTTCCCCACAGCTGGAGATGGAAAAGCACCAATCGCCCCCATAGAGGAAGAGGATGATGATGTTCCAGGTGGGTCATGAACAGCCATCTCACAGTTAAGAGGTCATGATTGTTTGAGTTTACATCCCTGGTGTTACCCAAAAGTATGACTTTTCTGTTTCCATCTACGTGGGCTGGCACCCATGTCTCACTGGGCCATGGCTTCGGCGGACATGCTGTGACTTTGTGCCAAGGCCAGGCCACTGGTACTTTTCATTTGGCATTTACATAACAATGGCCAACAGTGAACTTAAACACCTTCTCACAAAGCAACTGTCTTGATGATGCAGATGTTGTTGATTCTGCTCACCACAAGTCTTAAGTGTCACACTCCTGATGGAAACACAATTACACTAGAGCTTTCATTAACATAAAACACTGACACTGGTTTGGGGTAAAGGCGTCAGCATGCTTCAGTTCGGCTGAAGGCCCAAATGAGGGTGCTCGCGTACTCCCTGAAAAGACTATCGCTTGTAAAACGAGAAAAGATCTGCAATAGTACTGCTTGTCCATTTTGAGAAGCCTCAAAATAGTCCGAATTAATCTAAGATAACTCAAGAAATCTGTCATTAAATTTGACGTTTTTGACGAGATCTTAGTCGTGGAATTTTACATCTAACTAAGATGTTTGATGCAGTATTTCGCAATGAACAAATTTGCATGAAAAATAATCCCTACTATTGACCAATCACGGACGAAGGGGCGTAAACTTCAGCTACCGATTTCGGCTTGAATCCAGGAAAAAATGTAGTGTGCCCAAACAGCTGAAAAAACCCTCATCGAAGTCCAAAACGAACAAAAACGTCTCAATGTTGTCATAACTTTTCCAAACTGTTTTGGCTGGGAAGCATGCGGATGCCTTTAGTCTTAGATTGAAGTGCCGTAATAGTGACATTGTGTGCGGAAAATATCACACCAGCCTCTTGCAGTTGATTTGATGCGATCCCACTCCCACCCTCTTGGCATGGATGAACACATCTCCAGTTATTGATAATTTTTCCTCCTTCCTTATTTGAACGTGACCATAGGGATTGTGTAGGTATCTTCAACAATGGCTTTTTGTCCTAGACACTTGTAAGACCTTACTGTGCCCAACTCCTGAGTGGCGCAGTGGTCTAAGGCACTGCATCGCAGTGCTAACTGTGCCACTAGAGATCCTGGTTCGAATCCAGGCTCTGTCGCAGCCGGCCGCGACCGGGAGACTCATGGGCGGCGCACAATTGGCCCAGCGTCGTCTAGGGTAGGGGAGGGAATGGCCGGCAGGGATGTAGCTCAGTTGATAGAGCATGGCGTTTGCAATGCCAGGGTTGTGGGTTCGATTCCCACGGGGGGCCAGTATAAAACAAATATGTAATCACTAACTGTAAGTCGCTCTGGATAAGAGCGTCTGCTAAATGACTAAAATGTAATGTAAATGTCTCCACAACAACCACGTGTAGTGTTATTTATACTTTCTCCTATGTCTGTGGCTACAGAATAAGTTACATCTGGGCTTGTATTTTCCCTCGGATAATAGAACCGTGGCAGGTTTGCTTACTTTTGTGACGTGAAGGGGGTCATGCTAAGGGGATCTAACAATGACTGAAGAATTGATGGTGATTGGAGTCGGGGTGGTGGGTTTAGTGTTTGAAACGTTTGTTGTTTGAGTTCTGAAAGCACAGTTCGCTTTTTTTGTGGAGAAAACGGGTCCAAACACATCAGGTTGCCATTACAATTACCCATGGCTTTTCCCAGGGCTCTCTTTTTCTCGTAACCCAACGTTTTCACAAATGTAACAAACAATTACTCTCATTCAGCGTAAGGAGCGGTTGAAGCCCGATGACACAGGGTTAACGGTCTATGCCGTCATGTCATTACCGGAGTTTAGTTTCCCTATGTGTCCCCCCCCCCACACACACACTTAAAATTATATTCAGACCTTTAGAATTGTTTCCATTATAACTCTCGACCCCTCAGCCAAATATGAACCGGACAGATTTATCAGATTATTGAACAAATGGGACCCTCCTTTTGATCCTCAGTGCCATGATTTTTACAGCTGTTTTCTGGTGTTCTGTGGGGCTCCCTCTTGCAGAGCGAGACTCGTTCTCAGAGTGTAGAGGGAGAGCTGATGGGGGGGGGGGTTTACATTTTAGTCATTTAGCAGACACTCTTATCCAGAGCGATTTACAGTTAGTGAGTGCATTTTTTTAGGAGTATAAATTATACCTGGGATCATGTTTCAGATAAACACTTAATTTGTCCTTAAGTGGACTGAGACCAGTAGAAAGACAGATGGAGGCATGTATGTTTGGAGAGAGTACTGCCTGTGTCTTACCCTGACTGACATGTAACTTACTGACCGTTGGCTTGTTGTTTCAGATTTGGTGGAGAATTTTGACGAGGCTTCCAAGGATGAGGCAAACTAAAGGAAACAACCGACCTTCAGGAGAGTCTCAACAGGACTTGACTAGGCCGTGGGGGTGGGGTGGGCACAAGGCGTTATTTTTTCTTTCTTGCCACCCGATTCTCAAAATGCTATTTTGTGCACTGGTGTCCGTGTCCAGTTTGAGAGTCAGTGAGAGATTGTATGTACGTTACTGTACGTCCCTCTTAGGTTCGAGGTCTTCTCTTCAGCAGTTTCCTCCATGTTACTGAACCTGATTTCTTTGCAGTCTTACTGAAACCATAATATCTGGAATAAACATTTTGCTATTGTCAACTAAGAGAATATTGGCGTTTTATCTGATTACTTGAAATAAGGGGACAAAGGTGGTTCCGCTTATCAGTTGTGTATTTTAAACTAACATAAATCTGCCTCTGTACCTTTTTAGTTGCGCCCTAAAGCCAGGATTCGATCTAAGGCATGCTATAGAGCAGCACACTGGACAGACGACAATGTGACCTTTTAAAGATTAATAATATAATTTATGCTTGAGCCGACATGGTTTATGCTTGACCGTGAATGCTATCTTGGCGAATGTTGGGGAAATTACACTACATGGCCAAAAGTATGTGACTATTTCAGCAACACCCGTTGCTAACAGGTATATAAAATTGAGCACACAGCTATGCAATCTCCATAGACAAACATTGGCAGTAGAATATTCCATTTTATTTGGAATGGCAAGCCAGACAAAATTAAACGGGCCTATTTATATAATGAATATGAATTCTGAGGACAGAAATTATTAAATATTAAAGCATTAGACCTATCACTAAAAGCTTCAGTCATACAAAAGTTATACTTAAATCCGAACTGGTTCTCTAGCAAATTAGTAAGATTGTCTCAAAAACAGCCCTTTTCCCTTTATTCAGATTACAACCACTCACTTTCAGTTATTTGAAAAGGAAATCATCTCCCAAATATCACTATTTCTAAAACAAGCCATAGAAAGTTGGTTTCAATTGAAACCTCCAGAAACGACAGAACAAATAATGCAACAAATATTGTGGTTAAACTCAAATATACTAATTGACAAAAAAAACTTTTTTTTTTGACAATGTTTAAAAAATGTATAATCTTTGTAAATAATATAATCGGTAGGACTGGTGGAGTTATGTCACACATGCAGCTAACAAAAACATATGGAAATGTCTGCTCTACCCAAAATTACAACCAAATAATTGCAGCCTTACCGCAAAAATGGAAGAGGAAAGTGGAAGGGGGAGAAAGTAAGGAACTTGTCTGTCTGCCTTGCATTAAATAACATAATTGGTTAAAGAAAACTGTGATAAATAAAAAAGAATACCAGTTTAATTTAAGGACCAAAGGATTGACAGCCGTCTCATACAAATTGCAAAATAGTTGGGAAGACTTTTGACGTACCGATCCCATGGCATAGTGTTTATGAATTGATACACAAAACGACACCGGATTCAAAATTTAGAATCTTTCAATTTAAATTATTATATAAAAAGTCTTGCTACCAATATAATGTTATTTATATGGGGGATACAATCTTCCCAGCTCTGCAGATTTTGCTGCGAAGAGACAGAATCATTAGATCATTTGTTTTGGTACTGTCCATTTGTAGCTTGTTTTTGGACACAGGTCCAGGAATGGCTAAAGGATTGCAATATTTACCTGGAGCTAACCTTGCAGATAGCATTACTGGGTGATCTAAAAAGTCATAGTCAATCGATCAATAATATAATACTTTTAGCAAAAATGTTTATTTTCAATTTACAATCTGTAGAAACAATGAGAATAGAAAGGTTCAGAACTTTTGTAAAACATCACATTACAGTTGAAAAATATATGGCAAATATAAATCCTATATGGATGGTGTTAAGAGAGAGATTGGTGGTGTAGAATGGAGTTGAAGGATAACAACTAACAAATAATAACAAGATGACTAATAATGTAAGCATACTGTGTCCATAATAAGTATATAGGTTGTAGGTTGGGAGCTTTTGTGAAAGAGCACAGTTAAAAAGATATGGCATATAGAAGCAAACCGGATGGACATCATGAAAATGATCGGAGAGGTTGAGCGTGGAAGTTCAGGAGAAAAAACTAACAAAATAGAATTATTGTAAAATTGGCTGTGTCCATAAAATTTATATAGTAAGTATAAGCTGGAAGTAGAGGCCTAAGCATTATTGTTCACTAGTTTACTCCAATTAGGGAAAGGGTGGTGGGGTTGGAATGTAATAAAGGGGAATATATATATATTTTTAAAGGTTATGTATATGTGTATACAGTGGGGAAAAAAAGTATTTAGTCAGCCACCAATTGTGCAAGTTCTCCCACTTAAAAAGATGAGAGAGGCCTGTAATTTTCATCATAGGTACACGTCAACTATGACAGACAAATTGAGAATTTTTTTTCCAGAAAATCACATTGTAGGATTTTTTATGAATTTATTTGCAAATTATGGTGGAAAATAAGTATTTGGTCACCTACAAACAAGCAAGATTTCTGGCTCTCACAGACCTCTAACTTCTTCTTTAAGAGGCTCCTCTGTCCTCCACTCGTTACCGGTATTAATGGCACCTGTTTGAGCTTGTTATCAGTATAAAAGACACCTGTCCACAACCTCAAACAGTCACATTCCAAACTCCACTATGGCCAAGACCAAAGAGCTGTCAAAGGACACCAGAAACAAAATTGTAGACCTGCACCAGGCTGGGAAGACTGAATCTGCAATAGGTAAGCAGCTTGGTTTTAAGAAATCAACTGTGGGAGCAATTATTAGGAAATGGAAGACATACAAGACCACTGATAATCTCCCTCGATCTGGGGCTCCACGCAAGATCTCACCCCGTGGGGTCAAAATTATCACAAGAACAGTGAGCAAATATCCCAGAACCACACGGGGGGACATAGTGAATGACCTGCAGAGAGCTGGGACCAAAGTAACAAAGCCTACCATCAGTAACACACTACGCCGCTAGGGACTCAAATCCTGCAGTGCAAGACGTTTCCCCCTGCTTAAGCCAGTACATGTCCAGGCACGTCTGAAGTTTGCTAGAGTGCATTTGGATGATCCAGAAGATCATTGGGAGAATGTCATATGGTCAGATGAAACCAAAATATAACTTTTTGGTAAAAACTCAACTCATCGTGTTTGGAGGACAAAGAATGCTGAGTTGCATCCAAAGAACACCATACCTACTGTGAAGCATGGGGGTGGAAACATCATGCTTTGGGGCTGTTTTTCTGCAAAGGGACCAGGACGACTGATCCGTGTAAAGGAAAGAATGAATGGGGCCATGTATCGTGAGATTTTGAGTGAAAATCTCCTTCCATCAGCAAGGGCATTGAAGATGAAACGTGGCTGGGTCTTTCAGCATGACAATGATCCCAAACACACCGCCCGGGCAACGAAGGAGTGGCTTCGTAAGAAGCATTTCAAGGTCCTGGAGTGGCCTAGCTAGTCTCCAGATCTCAACCCCATAGAAAATCTTTGGAGGGAGTTGAAAGTCCGTGTTGCCCAGCGACAGCCCCAAAACATCACTACTCTAGAGGAGATCTGCATGGAGCAATGGGCCAAAATACCAGCAACAGTGTGTGAAAACCTTGTGAAGACTTACAGAAAACGTTTGACCTGTGTCATTGCCAACAAAGGGTATATAACAAAGTATTGAGAAACTTTTGTTATTGACCAAATACTTATTTTCCACCATAATTTGCAAATAAATTCATAAAAAATCCTACAATGTGATTTTCTGGATTTTTTTCCTCATTTTGTCTGTCATAGTTGACGTGTACCTATGATGAAAATTACAGGCCTCTCTCATCTTTTTAAGTGGGAGAACATGCACAATTGGTGGCTGACTAAATACTTTTTTTCCCCACTGTATATGCAGACAATTACATTCATGGAAGTTACAATCTATCTGCAATATTAAGCTGATCTACCCCCCAAAAAAAAAAATATATATATATATATATATATATATATTGGCAGTAGAATGGCCCGTACTGAAGAGCTCAGTGACTTTAAACATGGCACTGTCATAAGATGCCACCTTTCCAACAAGTCAGTTCGTCAAATTTCTGCCCTGCTACATTTACATTTACGTCATTTAGCAGACGCTCTTATCCAGAGCGACTTACAGTTAGTGCATACATTATTCATTTTTATTTTCATACTGGCCCCCCGTGGGAATCGAACCCACAAGCAAGCGCCATGCTCTACCAACTGAGCTACACGGGGCCTTCCCAGAAGAGTGGAGGCTGTTACAGCAGCAAAGGGGGGACCAACTCCATATTAATGCCCATGATTTTGAAATGGGATGTTCGACGAGCAGGGGTCCACATTTAGCCATGTAGTGTACCTTCAAAAGGCCCTTTGTCATCTGTCCAAATGACTTGTACAAATACATGGGGCATCTGTGCACTACACTTGGTGAAAGTGATAATCCACCCCAAACCACTAATTCGTATGATTAATAGTGTTAAATACCACTGTGAAAACATTTTTTTTTTTTTGAAATGTTTAATTTTGTCGTTATTATATTGGTAGCAACAAAGTCGTAGAAATATTTTGCAGCTCAAGTCGACTACAAAACCCTCAATGCATTGCTCTCTCTCTGGGGTGGCTACCTAGCTAATGTAGCTACACTCTATAATACCAAAATCAATATCAGCATGTTATGTAGCTAGCTAGCTAGATGGCTGTATAATCGCCTAAACAAATTTAGGAGTATCTAAAGAGTTCAATTTACAGTTTGTCTCTGGCCAGAGTGAGTGCAGAGTACGTTGCTATGGCAACAATGGTCCATTTACACTTTTCCCACAGCGCGCATTGCGAGATTGTACTTGAAGGAGAAACTAAATTGAATCATTTAGGACAGTTTAGATTGAGCACATCTAAGCGTAATATATAGTTTGTCATGATATAAACGGATGGGTGTGTTCTAGACAAATATGCCCATACCATATATTGACTGATTTTACGATCTGGAGTGCAGGTAATTGTTTTATAAGCGTTATGAAATGTAATAGCCACAGAGTTTCTAAACCCAGAGGCGCAACATCACGAGACTTCCGGGAACGCTTGTCAAGCAGACCAGTCCGGGGTTTGAAAAGTCAATGAGAGAATTGAAACATTCTTCCTTAGTTAATTTTCTCAATCTGAAGCAGAACCTAGATTCGAGACAATGTCTTAAGTATTTAAACATGTTATTACTCCAACCTCGGTAAAGTGACAAACTGACATGTTTTAATTTTCGTAAAAAACATCTTTATGTCGAAGGAGATGGCAGCTCTGCTTTTAGCTCCTAAGCAACTTTGTTTTGTTAGATACTACTGCACTGTTGGAGCTAGGAACACAAGCATTTCGCGACACCCGCAATAACATCTGCAAAATATGTGCATGTGGCCAATAAAATTAGATTTGAGTGCCTTTGACTTGATTGCGGGCACATGCGCGAGGGGACCACCCAATGACGTATTTCTGCGCATGCGCTTAGCTAGCCCAACAACTACAAGTGGTATCCAGGATTTTATTGGAGAAGCAGTTTCTGCTCATCTTCTTACTGTACTGTCTTTGTTGTAGCAATGACGAGTTCCTACACAATTTCCTGATTTCACACACAGACCACTTAGAAGTTAAATCATGGGGAAAGTTATTTTACCCACTGATAGGAACATAGGCTTTCACCAAATTGACAGGAGTTTTATGATTTTTATTTATGGGGGTGGATTATCCTTCTTAAGATGGTTTACAATGTTAATGAAAACAGTGATTTAAAAACAAGTGTTTATTTACAATAACAAAAAAGCAGCACCAGCAATATTTTGAACACTTATGTACCCTTGGATGGTATGTTAAAGACCCAGTGCAGGCAGAAACATGATTTTCCTATGTTTTGTATATCTTTCCACATTGAGGTTGGAATAATACTGTGTAAATGATGCCATTTTCGTGTAAGAGTTGTTTGAAAAGACTGTCTGAAATTTCAGCCTGTTTTGGTGGGATGGAGTTTTGGCCTGCCTGGTGACATCACCAGGCGGTAAATCCGTTAATAGACCAATAAGAAAGAGTTCCAAACCCCTCTGCCACTAACAGCTAGTTTTCCCCTCCCCACTTAGACCACTCCCAGACAGTCCTAGCAAAATTCTTGCTTGAGAAATTGCTCTCGTTAAGAAGCTATTTGTTTATTTATTACCATTTTGATTGAAAACAACCTACTTCCTCCAATGTAAGTCAGTCAGTCATAAACATACACAAAAACATAACTTTTTTTCTAAACAATCAATTAGATCTACTTAATTTCATCACAACGTTATAGTGTTTACCCGTTTCTTGAGCAGAATTCTCAAATGAAAAGTGTGAACTTATATCTTAAACTTTCACAAACATCTCCCATTGATATCGATGCACAATTAGAGCAGACGTTTGGGTTTATGCACTACTTTCTACATTAGCATTTGGCTCAAAACGTATTTACATTGTAACAAACTAAACTCCTAAAGAAAAGGGCGTCTACCCAAAACGGAGGCCTGAAACATACACATTTGAGTTGCGTGTCTCCATAAATACTCACACATGCTTCATCAAAACCATTCACACCTGAGCTTCACCCTAACAGATAAGACAGTCTCAAACATGCTACACGATTGTCCTCAGACATATTTCTTTCTTCATTATGGTGTCCACTGTATTTCCATTCACAGGCAGTCCTTCCTCCTCTTGTCCCCCAGGTTAGTGGGTCACTCTCTGATCCCCATCAGCAGCTTCAGTAGGTGGGCCTCCATCACCTGTTGGACTGGTCAGAGAAGAGAGACATGTTTCAGCCATAGCCTACAACTGCACAGAGATATCATGCAAAATTGAGGTTTTGGAAGTTTTTATATATTTTTTTAAAGCAAAAATCTGAAAGTTTGAGTATTGAGCAAACATCTAAAAGGCAAGTATCTGGTAGGGTTCATTAAAGGTAAATAGGAATGCTAGTTAGTTAAAGCTATCCTCAAGCTGAGAAAATATAATTTAATTACAGCTCCGAAATGCCGGCATTTTAAACATTAAATCCCTGTTCATACCATAGGACAAACATCCAAGCTCCGAAATGCCGGTATTTTAAACATTAAATCCCTGTTTTTACCATAGGACAAACATCCAAGCTTCGAAATGCCGGCATTTTAAACATTAAATCCCTGTTCATACCATAGGACAAACATCCAAGTCATGAAATCATTACAGCTACTGGGCTTATTTTGTGCATGTCTATCCTTGACATACACAGCACCATAACAAGTTTACTTCCTGTTTTAACTCTGATCCTAGTCCGGCCTAGTGGAACCAGTGGAACCGACTGTTAGAATCAGAGGAGATCCTGCTAAGATGGCCACATTTGCATAGTTGTATCAAAACACAGAAATCTGATTGCGTAAGATGGGATGTGGGTGGGAAGGACAGGGATTACTGTTACACACGGACTAGAAGGAACTCTTTCACCAAATACCCTTGTATTTCTTTAAACATATTCCAAGATAGCTAGTGGGTAATAGAGTAATATCTTTATGAAAGTAGATCGGGCATAAGACAAATAAAGAAATGCTATATTTCCGCTTTATGTATGTATGCCTAGACTACAACACATTATGTATTTATCCCTACACTACAATACTTTATGTATGTATGCCTAGACTACAATACCTCTTTAGTCATGATATTTAAACATGTTCTTCATGATGAGAAGTATATAGCCTAAATATGATATGTATGAGATGCATTTTTGTATACCATTCCTATGGCCCATTGCCACAGCCATATCCATAGCGTTGAAGCCAGAGTCAGACTCAATGGTGGGGTCGGCACCACTTTCTGTGACAGGAAAAGATGGAAGATGTCAGATTACAGACCAGTCTGGATCAAAACACAGCCTAAATATAAGCAACATATCTCATCAAAATCATCAGCGCAGACCAAGCTTTTTACAACACAACATATTGACTCAGTTAATAAAAGTCAGAGAATCATCATTCATCTAGAAAGTGACAGTTGCCACCAATGTTGTTGGTTAGTACAGTAAGTCTGCTGAATGGAAGGTCAGTCAGTCAGGGTTTCATTTCCTCCTGTACAGGCTCGCTCCGTCCGTCCGTCAGTCAGTCAGTCAGTCAGTTCTTACCTAGGAGAATTTCCACACAACGCAAATGGTTTCCATGGACGGCGTAGAGCACGGGAACCCCTCCGTTCTGAAACCGCAAGAAGAGTGACAATCTTCAACAGGAACAAATGTTGCTCTATGATTGGTTCGATATACTGTACATTAAATTAAGCCATACAGATGAAAATCCTGATGTGACATTCCTACCCAGTCATATTCATTGACATCCACCCCACAATCAATGAGCATCTTCACGATGTCTGTGTATCCCTTACTGCAGGCCAGAGACAGAGCACTCTCTCTGCCTTTAGCCAACAGGTTGGGGTCCGCTCCCTAAAGGAAGAGGACATGGAAGAGACCATTGGTGAGAAAATTAAATTAAAAGCATCTGGTCTAAACGTCTTCAACAATACATATACTGTATACAGTATGTTAATGTTATTTGTGGTGTTTTCCTGTCTAATGTACTATGTGCATTTTAGGTAACAGTATGACGGTATGTTACTGCATATCTCTGAAATAAAGTCATTTGCTGGGTTGTTACACTATATGACCAAAAGTATGTGGACACCTGCTCGCCGAACATCTCATTCCAAAATCATGGCCATTAATATGGAGTTGGTCTCTCAGTTACGAACTGACTTGTAAAGGTGGCATCCTATGACGGTGCCACGTTGAAAGTCACTGAGCTCTTCGGTAAGGCCATTCTACTGCCAATGTTTGTCAATGGAGATTGCATGGCTGTGTGCTCGATGTTATACACCTGTCAGCAACAGGTGTGGCTGAAATAGCCGAATCCACTAATTTGAAGGGATGTCCACATACTTTTGTATATATAGTGTATGTCTCAACATGTCATTGTTCTTACGTTCTGGAGCAGGAACTCTACGACTGCTATCTGTCCGTGTGCTGCAGCCCACATCAGGGGGGTGAAGCCTTCCTCATCCTGCAGATTAATCACTGTCTCTACAGCCATACAAACAACAACATCAAAGCGGTCAATAACACGTTTCTAGTCAACCAGTGAAGCCCTTTATAGACATTCTTGACTACATATTATTTGTATCTTACCAACTGTTAATTATGTGACTGTTCATGGTTGTAAGGAGCCCAACAGCATCAATATAACATTAACAAACAGACATAAATACAACTGAGGGACATCGTCACCTTGTTCAATCCTGCTGGCCAAGAACACCATTTCTCCTTGTGCTGCCAGCTGGTGAATGGACAGGGCTGGAAAGAAGGCATAAGTCACAGGTCAGAGGTCAAGCAGCCATCAGTCAATGTTAGAGTCAGGTACGTTTTGTGTTCTATTCTATGTTTAAGAGGCTAAGTGATGTGTGACAAATGTAGGATGGACGCCGTCATATAGCTGCCCTCTGCTCCAACCTCTGTAAGTGTAATTGTGTATGTGTGTATTTCGGAGGGTTTGGAATAAAGCAGAGGACAAGTTTCTATTGGAAATCTGTGTACATTGGACAATAAAGCAAGCCTCTTCTTCTGTAGTTTAGGATGAGCTCAGGTACTTACAGTGGACCAAAAGAGGAGTGGAGGACACCTCGTTGCCGCGGTGCTTGTTGGTGAGTGTTGTCGACTGTTTGATAGGGGAGAAGTGTTTGGTGGTGGATGGGGTGTAAACATGACGCACTTGTATCCCTGGTGAGGGCGACGTCTGAATATTACACTCGGCTGAAAGAGGCAAAAGAGATATAGCATCAACCATCAGCTCAGCTCAATTGAGGAGCAAAATACCTCCTCTGATTCTCTGGGGTCAAATAAGGAAAGCACATTGTAATACTAATAAGGAGTGCGTCAACACTTGGTAGTCAGTTGGTACCTTTAAATAAAACAGATGCCACCTCCAAGTCGGAGTTGACCTGGTCCTGGATGTTTTTGCTGTCCTCCTCGTTGAGCGACTTGACGAACCTCGAGCACACGTTCATATCGAAGCGGTTGGGAAGGATGAACTTGATCCCCATGGCCACGTTCTGTGCACCTGTGTCGTCCGCACTCCCACCCGGGTGTTCCGACTTGATGCTGCTCATATCTGGCATCACACATATCCCCTCCATCTCCTCGGAGACCGAACTGGTCCTACCTGCTACAGAACCTGTGTCCATGACTGAGCAGTGACACAGAGAGTCACCTCTGTGCTTGGAAGGATGTAATGCGGTCTATCCAGTGTCCAATAAAAGAAGAGAAGTCAGTGAAAGCCTAGAATGGATACAAAAGCAACATCAGAATGTGGTAACGTTAGTTCAAGTTAGTGTGTGCCAATGTCATCAATTTAAGTGTGCAAAGCTGATGGCATTTTTTGATGATTCTCTTTTGTAAAAATTATACTCATATATATACAGTGGGGAGAACAAGTATTTGATACACTGCCGATTTTGCAGGTTTTCCAACTTACAAAGCATGTAGAGGTCTGTAATTTTTATCATAGGTACACTTCAACGGTGAGAGACAGAATCTAAAACAAAAATCCAGAAAATCACATTGTATGAATTTTAAGTAATTAATTTGCATTTTATTGCATGACATAAGTATTTGATACATCAGAAAAGCAGAACTTAATATTTGGTACAGAAACCTTTGTTTGCAATTACAGAGATCATACGTTTCCTGTAGGTCTTGACCAGGTTTGCACACACTGCAGCAGGGATTTTGGCCCACTCATCCATACAGACCTTCTCCAGATCCTTCAGGTTTCGGGGCTGTCGCTGGGCAATACGGACTTTCAGCTCCCTCCAAAGATTTTCTATTGGGTTCAGGTCTGGAGACTGGCTAGGCCACTCCAGGACCTTGAGATGCTTCTTACGTAGCCACTCCTTAGTTGCCCTGGCTGTGTGTTTCGGGTCGTTGTCATGCTGGAAGACCCAGCCATGACCCATCTTCAATGCTCTTACTGAGGGAAGGAGGTTGTTGGCCAAGATCTCGCGATACATGGCCCCATCCATCCTCCCCTCAATACGGTGCAGTCGTCCTGTCCCCTTTGCAGAAAAGCATCCCCAAAGAATGATGTTTCCACCTCCATGCTTCACGGTTGGGATGGTGTTCTTGGGGTTGTACTCATCCTTCTTCTTCCTCCAAACACAGCGAGTGGAGTTTAGACCAAAAAGCTATATTTTTGTCTCATCAGACCACATGACCTTCTCCCATTCCTCCTCTGGATCATCCAGATGGTCATTGGCAAACTTCAGACGAGCCTGGACATGCGCTGGCTTGAGCAGGGGGACCTTGCGTGCACTGCAGGATTTTAATCCATGACGGCGTAGTGTGTTACTAATGGTTTTCTTTGAGACTGTGGTCCCAGCTCTCTTCAGGTCATTAACCAGGTCCTGCCGTGTAATTCTGGGCTGATCCCTCACCTTCCTCATGATCATTGATGCCCCACGAGGTGAGATCTTGCATGGAGCCCCAGACCGAGGGTGATTGACCATCATCTTGAACTTCTTCCATTTTCTAATAATTGCGCCAACAGTTGTTGCCTTCTCACCAGGCTGCTTGCCTATTGTCCTGTAGCCCATCCCAGCCTTATGCAGGTCTACAATTTTATCCCTGATGTCCTTACACAGCTCTCTGGTCTTGGCCATTGTGGAGAGGTTGGAGTCTGTTTGATTGAGTGTGTGGACAGGTGTCTTTTATACAGGTAACGAGTTCAAACAGGTGCAGTTAATACAGGTAATGATTGGAGAACAGGAGGGCTTCTTAAAGAAAAACTAACAGGTCTGTGAGAGACGGAATTCTTACTGGTTGGTAGGTGATCAAATACTTATGTCATGCAATAAAATGCAAATTAATTACTTAAAAATCATACAATGTGATTTTCTGGATTTTTGTTTTAGATTCCGTCTCTCAGAGTTGAAGTGTACCTATGATAAAAATTACAGACCTCCACATGCTTTGTAAGTAGGAAAACCTGCAAAATCGGCAGTGTATCAAATACTTGTTCTCCCCACTGTATATATATATACAGTGAGGGAAAAAAGTATTTGATCCCCTGCTGATTTTGTATGTTTGCCTACTGACAAAGACATGATCAGTCTATAATTTTAATGGTAGGTTTATTTGAACAGTGAGAGACAGAATAACAACAACAAAATCCAGAAAAATGCATGTCAAAAATGTTATAAATTGATTTGCATTTTAATGAGGGAAATAAGTATTTGACCCCCTCTCAATCAGAAAGATTTCTGGCTCCCAGGTGTCTTTTATACAGGTAACGAGCTGAGATTAGGAGCACACTCTTAAAGGGAGTGCTCCTAATCTCAGCTTGTTACCTGTAGAAAAGACACCTGTCCACAGAAGCAATCAATCAATCAGATTCCAAACTCTCCACCATGGCCAAGACCAAAGAGCTCTCCAAGGATGTCAGGGACAAGATTGTAGACCTACACAAGGCTGGAATGGGCTACAAGACCATTGCCAAGCAGCTTGGTGAGTAGGTGACAACAGTTGGTGCGATTATTAGCAAATGGAAGAAACACAAAATAACTGTCAATCTCCCTCGGCCTGGGGCTCCATGCAAGATCTCACCTCGTGGAGTTGCAATGATCATGAGAATGGTGAGGAATCAGCCCAGAACTACACGGGAGGATCTTGTCAATGATCTCAAGGCAGCTGGGACCATAGTCACCAAGAAAACAATTGGTAACACACTACGCCGTGAAGGACTGAAATCCTGCAGTGCCCGCAAGGTCACCCTGCTCAAGAAAGCACATATACAGGCCCGTCTGAAGTTTGCCAATGAACATCTGAATGATTCAGAGGAGAACTGTCTGAATGTGTTGTGGTCAGATGAGACCAAAATCGAGCTCTTTGGCATCAACTCATCTCGCCATGTTTGGAGGAGGAGGAATGCTGCCTATGACCCCAAGAACACCATCCCCACCGTCAAACATGGAGGTGGAAACATTATGCTTTGGGGGTGTTTTTCTGCTAAGGGGACAGGACAACTTCACTGCATCAAAGGGACGATGGACGGCGCCATGTACCGTCAAATCTTGGGTGAGAACCTCCTTCCCTCAGCCAGGGCATTGAAAATGGGTCGTGGATGGGTATTCCAGCATGACAATGACCCAAAACACACGGCCACGGCAACAACGGAGTGGCTCAAGAAGAAGCACATTAAGGTCCTGGAGTGGCCTAGCCAGTCTCCAGACCTTAATCCCACAGAAAATCTGTGGAGGGAGCTGAAGGTTCGAGTTGCCAAACGTCAGCCTCGAAACCTTAATGACTTGGAGAAGATCTGCAAAGAGGAGTGGGACAAAATCCCTCCTGAGATGTGTGCAAACCTGGTGGCCAGCTACAAGAAACGTAGGGTTTTACAACTAAGTACTAAGTCATGTTTTGCAGAGGGGTCAAATACTTATTTCCCTCATTAAAATGCAAATCAATTTATAACATTTTTGACATGCGTTTTTCTGGATTTTTTTGTTGTTATTCTGTCTCTCACTGTTCAAATAAACCTACCATTAAAATTATGGACTGATCATGTCTTTGTCAGTGGGCAAACGTACAAAATCAGCAGGGGATCAAATACTTTTTTCCCTGACTGTATGTATATATATATATACTACGCCGAACATGACTTACTACTGTCTATTTGCTGACAAGGATCATTCCTAAATAACAACATGCATGCAAAAACACAAGTTCGAAGGCTTGTGTTCCACATCAGTTGAGACTAGCATTGTCTATGCAACTTGCTAGTTTTAAAAGCGCTAGCTAACTAATTCTTAGTTAAATTCTTGAACCTACTACCAAATTCTGTCTGACTTACCATTACTGATAGTTAGCTAATACTTCTAAGGAAATAATAAAGACGAAACCGAACGGTCTAGCTAACGTTATTGTTAGCTAGCCCGAGATAGGCCCTCTCTCTTGGGTGAACGAGAGCTAGCTAGCTAACCAAGTCAGAAATACTTTAGTCTTTCTGGCTTAGTGTTAGCTAGCTAGCATGGTTAGCTAGCTAGCAAACAGACCCAACAGAATCCCCTACAAGCAAACTAACGTACTGATTACAAGCACAACTAAAACCGTAGTAAGGTTAAGTGAGACACATTAATAATAGATAATGATTTCTTACTTAGTAACACAATTTGTGTAATGTTCACCGGTGTTGCAAGGATTTGAAATCTGTCTTTGTGCTTGTTTTGATGTTTCTCGCGCATGAGCAGTTGCTTCAGATCAATGTTTTTTGCTCCATATGTGGCATATTCAATTGTAAAGGTATGGGTGAACGATACTATTATGAAAAAAATTATTTATTCTAATGAAATCCCTTTTTTACATATAGAGATCTTTGTATTTGAGCTAACTTTAATTAATGGTAATGTAATTAATTGATTAATTAGTTATTCATTAGTTATTCATTAATTACACTAAAATAATAAACAAGCCTCTAAATTAGATCTCTTTTTAGTCCATAGTCTGGTTGTGTATGTAGAATATTGATATTTCCAAAAGGCCCTATGTAGGCCTAGGCATCAAAATCGTTGAGGCATTGGGGACCTGTGTTTTACCTGTGTGTCAGCTCCATAAACCTAGTCAGGTTGAATTAAAGTTTTACCGTGGCATTTTGCAATGTTTGTTTAATTCCCTTTTATTACGAAATGTAGAATAATAGATTGGGCTACACTCACTCTGGTTACACTGCTGTGAGAATAGAGATCACAGTTTGGTCAAATGCTAGAGACTTTTCCCGAAGCCACTCTTGCGTTGTCTTGGCTGTGTGCTTAGGGTTGTTGTCCTGTTGGAAGGTGAACCTTCGTCCCAGTCTGAGTTCCTGAGCACTCTCAAGCAGGTTTTCATCAATGATCTCTCTGTGCTCTTTGCTCCGTTCATCTTTACCTCGATCCTGACTAGTCTCCCAGTCCCTGCCGCTGAAAAACATCCCCACAGCATGGTGCTACCACCACCATGCTTCACCGTAGGGATGGTGCCAGGTTTCCTCCAGACGTGACGCTTGTCATTCAGGCCAAAGAGTTCAATCTTGGTTTAATCAGACCAGAGAATCTTGTTTCTCATGGTCTGAGAGTCTTTAGGTGCCTTTTGGCAAACTCAGAGCGGGCTGTCATGTGCCTATTACTGAGGAGTGGCTTCCGTCTGGCCACTCTACCATAAAGGCCTGATTGGTGGAGTGCTGCAGAGATGGTTGTCCTTCTGGAAGGTTCTCCCATCACCACAGAGCAACTCTGGAGCTCTGTCAGAGTGACCATTAGGTTCTTGGTCACCTCCCTGACCAAGGCCCTTCTCCCCCGATTGCTCAGTTTGGCCGGGCGGCCAGCTCTAGGAAGAGTCTTGGTGGTTCCAAACTTCTTCCATTTAAGAATGATGGAGGCCACTGTGTTCTTGAGGACCTTCAATGCTGCAGAATTTTTTGGTTCCCTTCCCCAGATCTGTGCCTCGACACAATCCTGTCTCGGAGCTATACAGACAATTCCTTCAACCTCATGGCTTGGTTTTTGTGGGCCCTTCCAAATCATGTCCAATCAATTGAATTTACCACAGGTGGACTCCAATCAAGTTGTAGAAGCATCTCAAGGATGATCAATGGAAACAGGATGCACCTGAGCTCAATTTCGTATCTCATAGCAAAGGGTCTGAATACTTATGTAAATGTTATATTTCAGTTTTTTATGTCTGAAAACCTCTTTTCACTTTGTCATTATGGGGTATTGTGTGTAGATTGATGAGGATTATAAAAAAATATATATATCAATTTTAGAATAAGGCTGTAACGTAACAAATTGTGTAAAAAGGCAAGGGGTCTGAATACTTTCCGAAGGCACTGTATGTGGCTAGGGCACTTAAAATACCGCTCACTTAGCTCATAAAATGGATTAATAATGTAATAACATTATTTTTGCAGGACACGGTTATTCGTTTTGGTCAGGGATCATTAGGCCTAGGCAATAGGTATTATTGGATTTCTCTGTCTGTGGAAATCTGATTTGATACAAAGGATCAAAAGCTAAATCAAGCTACTATCAACATATATCTTATCACAGCTTTCTTTCTTTGGGTTGTTTATGTCTGAGTAATACAGATTTGTTTTATGGTCATGGTGAATAGTTTGTATTTTAATTGACCATTGAGTCATTCAAGTTGACTGAATAGTTTGTGAACAGCAACCCATTCTAGTCAGGTATTTTGTCACAACAATTTCTGGGTATTACACCTTCCTGAAACTAACTGTATGCAAATCATAAGACATATTAAATAGTCAATGTCACATTCATTAGGCTACATAATTTCCTCTTTACCAGAAGATGCCCCTCTAGGAAAGTAAGCCATGACTGTGGCGTGGTAGATTTAATACAGTGGGGGAAAAAAGTATTTAGTCAGCCACCAATTGTGCAAGTTCTCCCACTTAAAAAGATGAGAGAGGCCTGTCATTTTCATCATAGGTACATGTCAACTATGACAGACAAATTGAGAATTTTTTTTCCAGAAAATCACATTGTAGGATTTTTAATGAATTTATTTGCAAATTATGGTGGAAAATAAGTATTTGGTCACCTACAAACAAGCAAGATTTCTGGCTCTCACAGACCTGTAACTTCTTCTTTAAGAGGCTCCTCTGTCCTCCACTCGTTACCTGTATTAATGGCACCTGTTTGAACTTGTTATCAGTATAAAAGACACCTGTCCACAACCTCAAACAGTCACACTCCAAACTCCACTATGGCCAAGACCAAAGAGTTGTCAAAGGACACCAGAAACAAAATTGTAGACCTGTACCAGGCTGGGAAGACTGAATCTGCAATAGGTAAGCAGCTTGGTTTTAAGAAATCAACTGTGGGAGCAATTATTAGGAAATGGAAGACATACAAGACCACTGATAATCTGCCTCGATCTGGGGCTCCACACAAGATCTCACCCCGTGGGGTCAAAATGATCACAAGAACGGTGAGCAAAAATCCCAGAACCACACGGGGGGACCTAGTGAATGACCTGCAGAGAGCTGGGACCAAAGTAACAAAGCCTACCATCAGTAACACACTACGCCGCCAGGGACTCAAATCCTGCAGTGCAGACGTGTCCCCCTGCTTAAGCCAGTACATGTCCAGGCCCGTCTGAAGTTTGCTAGAGTGCATTTGGATGATCCAGAAGAGGATTGGGAGAATGTCATATGGTCAGATGAAACCAAAATAGAACTTTTTGGTAAAAACTCAACTCGTCGTGTTTGGAGGACAAAGAATGCTGAGTTGCATCCAAAGAACACCATACCTACTGTGAAGCATGGGGGTGGAAACATCATGCTTTGGGGCTGTTTTTCTGCAAAGGGACCAGGACGACTGATCCGTGTAAAGGAAAGAATGAATGGGGCCATGTATCGTGAGATTTTGAGTGAAAACCTCCTTCCATCAGCAAGGGCATTGAAGATGAAACGTGGCTGGGTCTTTCAGCATGACAATGATCCCAAACACAACGAAGGAGTGGCTTCGTAAGAAGCATTTCAAGGTCCTGGAGTGGCCTAGCCAGTCTCCAGATCTCAACCCCATAGAAAATCTTTGGAGGGAGTTGAAAGTCCGTGTTGCCCAGCGACAGCCCCAAAACATCACTGCTCTAGAGGAGATCTGCATGGAGCAATGGGCCAAAATACTGGCCAAAAATGTGTGAAAACCTTGTGAAGACTTACAGAAAACGTTTGACCTGTGTCATTGCCAACAAAGGATATATAACAAAGTATTGAGAAACTTTTGTTATTGACCAAAAACTTATTTTCCACCATAATTTGCAAATAAATTCATTAAAAATCTTACAATGTGATTATCTGGATTTTTTTTCTCATTTTGTCTGTCATAGTTGATGTGTACCTATGATGAAAATTACAGGCCTCTCTCATCTTTTTAAGTGGGAGAACTTGCACAATTGGTGGCTGACTAAATAATTTTTTCCCCCACTGTAGATCCGTTTCACCTTCTATTGTGTGTTGGTTGACTTCACTTTCTTATGTGGCCTTGGCTTTCAATGTTTGTTTATTTTTTAGGTGACTGTGCATCTGCAAATCTGCTGCAAAGTGGAGATTTCCTACTACGTAATTAGGCTCTGCTCCTTTGCTGGATGAAAACAGTTTTCAAGCCCCTGGAGTATTTATGCAGTTCATTAGGCCCATAATCTCCACTATTGACATACACTAAGTAACCTCTAACCTGTTTGCTGTGTGTGCATAATTTCTCTTTCTGCATGCTTACACACAAATAAAGCAAATATTATAACAATGCACTCACAATTATGTATCGTTGTAGTTTCACTTGAGGCCTCACACCTCATTTTAAAGTGAAGAACACTATTCAGCCTAGGCATATTGTGCATGTCAAAAGTAGAGGGGCTTTTAGCCTACGAGAGGGAGCTGGGGTAGGGTGGGTGAGTAACAAGGGAGTGACCAGGCAGGAACATAGTCATAGACCATGCCATGCTGCTGGATGGCACGCATGCTTCTTCTAGTCTATAGGCCCTCATGAACAGTATTCTCTGGGGCCTTGTTGCCAGCAGTCCTGTTCACAGTGCCTGGGTCCTTGTGGGTCCTTTGTGCCTCCCGTGCCTGGTCCTCTGCCTCCTGCTGTTTGGTGCTGGACGACCGTAGCCCATGACGTGATTTCATGCAACACAACCAGCCACGGCAAAAAGAGAGAGAGAGAGGGGGTTTTGTCCCAGGATCCTCTTTTGTTTAGTTGTCTGTTTGTTTTCAGAGTCTCTAATGAGGGAGATCAGGGGTTGTGGCCTGCCACTGCCGCAGTAGGGACACCAGGATAAAAAGCTTCCAGGTCAATAGCATGGAGCAAATCGCCTCGCTCTAATATCTATGTCAGTTATCACACGCAACTCCAGCCTGAGTCGCCTTGTTCCCCCAGCATGCGATGGACAGTCACATGATAAGTCTGCCCTCTTGCTGTGACCATAACTCATACACCTCACGCCTTCTACAGGAAAGCCAACTGACTTGACTGTTAACTCAGCTAACATTTGAGTCATTTAGCAGACACGCTTATCCAGAGCAATTAGGGTTAAGTGCCTTGATCAAGGGCACAGTGGCAGATTTTTCACCTAGTTGGCTCTGGGATTCAAACCAGCAACCTTTCATTTACTGGCCCAACACTCTTAACCTCTAGGCTACCTGCCGCTTAGCTATTGAAAGAAGGATGCCGAGTTAACCACAACCCTCTACCAGACTGAA